TGTTAAGAAATAATAAAAACAGATATAATATATTTATCATGCTGAGAAAAATGGTACAATAATAATAAGAAAAAAACAAAGAATTAGAATCAAACAAAATAAAAACCCAAAAGCCCAGGGGGGTATGGACAAAAATAGGGTTTAAGGCGCTAGAAAAAGCCCAATGAAGATTCAGTCCAACCAACAATCAAACAAACCCACCTCAGCCATCATAAACCATCTCTTCCCTTCATAAATTCAAACTTTGTTGCACCTCAAAGATAGCCGCATTCTCCCATGGTATCGAGAAAGGATGAATCGAAGAGGGTGGAAGTAAGGATAAAATGGACTTACCTACTGAGCTATTTGAAGGAGTGAGAATCAAAGACCAGAGAATATGTTCCAATGATGATTTGCAGGTATTACCTTTTCCTTCTCTTTCTTTCTGAGACCTGCCGAAATCGTATCTGAGTTCTGCTTTTTTGAGTTGTTGTTATTTGCGCAGGTCTGGTTTTTTGGACTTGGACAACAGGGAAAGCAAGGCCACGATTTGGTAATTCTAGACAAGGATGCAAGTTGATGTTGCTTTAATGTTGGTGAAAAAAAATGTAACAAAGTGGCATGAAGTTTATGGAAGCTTGAAGTTTGGTCAAAGATTGATTGAAGATTAGGACAAATCTTGTTAGGGCATTAGGTTTTGATAAACTTTTCATGTAACCTCTTTGTACTTGAAATATTTCTTTGATGTAATCCCTTTTATAACATGAGATGGTCTTGTAGAATTTCAAAGAATGAAACACTTTGCTTGAACTTGAAGTTCACTTTTTTTGTACTTACGACGTGCCATGCTCTCACCCAAAGATGCATTATTCTCTTCAAAAATCTTGAATGAGTTACCATGCTTTAGATGTACTCAAGTTGTTGAATGACTTGCATCGTTATCTCTTTTAAATGTCTTCAAGTGAATGAACAAACTTCACTGTTTCCATGATCCATGATCCATAAGTGAGTTAGATTTCAAGCAACAAACAATTTAAATAATAAGGAAGCCTTCACCAAAATGTATCCACAAATTCATATCTCTTATACCATGGCACAAATATTTTGCAATTCAATCCACGAGTCTTTCAACTCCTCCTTTCTTACTTGATGACCTTAGCACAAAACCCACGCCTTGAGGCATCCTTGAAGATGAACAAGAAAAGAGATATGACCAATGAAACCCTTGCTCATAAAATACTCATTTTTAAGTGAAACCTTAATCCATACTCCTTGAAGCTGAAAACCTTGCAATGGTGTTGATGAGAAATCCATAGTGACCACAAGATGAAAACCCTAATCCTTGCTTGATGATTCTTTAAGTTGAAGCATAATAACTGAAGACCTTATCTTTGATCTTGGGTAGGGAAATAAACACTAATCCTGACTCTAATGAAGAATAGCCCCGCAACCATGAATCGAAACCCTAATTCCACACTTTAAAGCTTAGAGAAAGAACCGGTGAACAATCTTATTTGATGAAGAAATCCCAAACCAGTGTGAAACCCTAATTTGCTCAAATGTGGATTCTTTGAACACATTCCTTATTGAATGGATGAATTTTATGCAGATGAATTTAATGGAATGTATGCAAAGCCTAAGCTAGATAAAAGTAAAATTAGGAGGGCGAATTCTAAGGTGAAACAGTGGAGACTGTTGAATGACATTCTTTCCCTCACACTAATCCTTGTGGATACAATAAAAAAAACTAAAAATACTTAATTTTGATTGTTGCTTTACCGTATCAATAGTGTCATGAAATATATTATTCAATTTGGATCTCAGAAGAGTGAGACATGTAATGTCCTCCAGGAGCCCAAAATCAACAGGAGGTTTCACCACGTCGAAGCACACTTGTGCCTTAAACAAATAGTGAGGCATTGTAAGATGTTTTTCTTTACAACAAATGATTCCTGTTTATACAAGTTTGGATTCATTCCAGACCATACAAAACTGTCGGCGAAATTTCAACCCTTGAAAATACACAACCATATTTTTGGTCGATCTTCTAAAAATCTGGTAAGTGAAGGAAGTATTTAAAAAACGGGATCTTTTAAACTACTAGGTTTTTCAATGTTTTGTAAAAAATCAGGTACAAGATGGTGTATTTTAAAAAACGGTAAGTTTTTCCACACCATTTTTTATTTAAAAAACCAATATAATTTCACATCAGATTTTTTAAATACACTACCGATTTTTTTATTTATACCCGAAATTTCATTTGTCTTACTTAATTTTTTGTCTGAGATTTTTGGCTAAAATTTTAACAAAGGTAATATGTGTAATATAGAAAACAAGGGAGGGTTGCCACGTTAAATTTATTGGGAGAGAATATGGACACTGATAGGTCTAGAAGGGGGGTGAATAAACTGTTTTCCAATTAGACATTTTCAAAAAAAAATTAGGTCCCATGTACGAAATCCGAGATTTTAAGAGACGGGGAAGCAAAACACAAAATAATAGAGTTTGGAAACATCTCAATGAATCAATCCATATGAAATGGTACCTGATATCATATATGCATTTGATTGCTTCGAATGCAAGTAAATCACAAGACTACTCAAGTAGCTTTTCAACAAAGCTATTTCAAAACACTTAGCTTATATAATCTAGCAAGACATAATTGAAGTCATGATACTTCAACAAGATTGATACACCACAAACCTAAGCTAATACATTAAATCTCTATACACAGAGTCTAACTTATGTGGTATACAATCAATGCAAAAATACAATGATGTAATCTCAAAATGATGGATATTATAAAAGTAAAAAAGATAAGGGAAGAAGAAAAGATAAAAAATGCTATATAGTGGTTCGATTGTCGTTCTCGCATTGCCTACTCCACTCTTTAATGATGTTAAAACCGTCCGAAAATAATCATGATAACTCACTATTTTGATAAGTTTGATTACATCATTTTGATTACAACGAACTATCACGCGATAATTCCTCTCGTTGATGCAGACACAAAAACTGCTAACAAAAGTCAAGATCACTAAAGGATATTGATCCAATAACCTTGCTACACACTATAATTCCGCTCCAAGTATTCGTATGTGACAATCCACCTGATTCCACCGATAACTTGTTTGAGAGATTGTCTTATCCTAGCGTTAATGGACAACTCCTAACTTTGTTTGCGAGCAATCTTTCTCCAACTTCACCAAAGATAAATAACTTCCACCCCCTCCTTACAGAAAATTGATACTTGATCTCACTAAAGTTTTCCTTGGAGTATTATGGAAACTCTACTCTTGGTGAATAACAACGAACATCAAACTACATTCAAGAAGTGATACTTGTACCTGTTACAAAAAACAAACAAAAACAAAAACATTATAAACCTACTGTACCACTAGTCTCCCTAAATACTCAATCTTTAGAGATGGAGGCCCTTAGCAAAGGAATAAGACTAAGGAGGAAGATGATGAACAGTGCCACAAAATCTCACAACAATCTACAAGGTATTTGTCAAGTGTTTTAGATAAGGGTGATTGAAGAACATACACATAAGGTTATATCAAGTTTCTAGATGAATGAGTCTTGGGTTTGGTTGCTATCAAGAAATTGATTAATAATGAACACGCAACATATTAATCAACTCCCCCTCTCTAATTCACTCAAACACAACAACAAATTGCACAAGAATAAGATGCTCCAAAAAGAATGAATTCAATCACGAATTCCTGGTCAAGAAGTTGTAATGGTGAAAAAGAGAAAGAATCACGATGATATGAGTGAACATAGAAATAATAGAAGACTAAATCACATTTTATCTATATGGGTATTTCCATAGGTTTCACACTTGTTAATTTTACCAAAAGAAACAACTATTTAAATAAGAGATGAAAAATTGGTGTTTTTAAAACGTAATTTAAATCACGAAAGAAATATGTTTCGAATCAAATTGTCTAGGCCCTAAAGGAGAATTTTCAAAGCTCATAATTCGAATCAAAAGTATTACATGATTTGAATCAAATGAGGCTATGATTCGAATAAGAAGAAAACAAGATTTGAATCAACCTGTCCATAAACTTTTTTCAATTTTCAAAGGTGAGTGATTCGAATCATAAATAACACATGATTTGAATCAAATACAAAACATAAAAAATTAAATACTTGTGATTCAAGCTACATCTGTGGAAATGAAAAAAATAGTAATTACATGGGCTCAAAAAAGGAAATGCCAATCAGAAATTTAGTGAACATCATTATTAAATGTAGAGATGTCTTAGTGGTACAAACTAATAACAATTTACAAAGTGATTACACATAGATTCAAATGATAAAAGCGTACAAACACATGAGTAGAATATTATTCAAATTACAAATACGCAAGACTATAAATCAATAGTCGAATTGAAAGAAACATCAAAACACAAATACTTAAAGCACATAAAAGATACCACACGATACTTTGTGCTTTCAGTCTTCCCTTTTTTGATGTTTGAGAAACATGTGAGATTATTGTTGATAAAATAACCAGAGTATTTTGGAATTTGATCGATCATAAAAAATTCATTAACTTAGCATACACTACTTCTTTTGATTTGTACAAGTTGTAAAGCCCCCTACATTAAACACTTAATGCGTGTAAATATCGATAATATCTCGACCACTTCTCCCCCTTTATCAAATATCAAAAAGGAGAGAAAAGGATAAACACAAACTTGAAACCAAGACATCACAAAATCTACAATATGGAATATAAACTCTAAAATGAATCACAAGCACACACATCATACAAATCATATGTGAGAATTAACACAAATATGCCATTTGAAGGATATATCAAGATAAAGATATCAAAAGAGTGAATAATAGACATATGAATTATACGTGAATTAAAATTATAAGTATCCACTTGGTAGACTAATCAAAATACGATCAAAATATCACAAGATAATGTGACAATCCAAAATAACATAAGTAAAACCAAAATATGATAAAATGTCATGTAATGCATGAAATGAAAAATATTAGGGTAGATCAGTGGGATCAAAAGTAAAAGCAGGAGCAACAACAATGTCTTCTGGATCTGGAGTGGAGACATTTGATGTAGAGTTATGATGAAAATTGAAATTATTACCACCAAGGTAATCAACAAAAGTCTTCAATGCTTGAGTTTGAGTTATCATACGATAATCAGCAGCTAGAATATCCTCTTTTACCTCACCCTTCATCATGGACCTCATATCCTCATTTTCAAGAGCCACTACATTAATGTATGCTATGATCATGTACTCCCTAACCTGACTATCAACCAACAGCTTCTGAATCATGTCATCAAGAAGTGTCTTCCCATCAGCAGATGCAGAAGGAGTAACACCAATGTTAGAAAGATCTCCATCCTCTTCCTTAGAGTTCTTTTTAGGCTCAACAATATGATCATCATACACTTTCCTACCAGACTTCTCCGATTAATAGAACACACCATCATATCCATATATCATGTCATCTTGGAGATCACAGACTCGTCCATAATCAATGGAGCACCAACCAAATCTTCTTCCTTGGACACAACTCCGTTGATTTCCAAAATCAACTGGACAAAAGAAGAGTAAAATACAAGTCACTTTTTATTATGCTTGAATACAATCATCCTATCCATGATAAAATTAGTCCAAGAAAAATTAGCATTATTTAGAAGTCCCCACATCAAATAAAGGTCTAAATCATCGGCTCTTCCCCGATTCTTAGGTTTTATGTAAAACACCTTCACGGTTATCCAATGTAAAATTCTCATGTTGAATTTTACTTGGCTAATTGGAAAGTTCTCCATAGAGGGCTTATCACATACATGCTTTGATATATCCAATACAATATTAACTTTGTTGAAGTCGCCCATCTTAGTACCAGACCTAAGGTTATCAGATGATTTCATACCAAAGGGCTCAGAAAAATCACTGTATTCAAACTTAATCAGCTTATCCTTAAACCTGCTTTCAATTCCAGTAGGAGTTCGAACAAGGTTATATTAGAAAGCTTTAACATGATCATGATTAAATTTCTTGTTTAATCCAATAAAACTCAACAGACCATTATCAGCAAAAGGTTTCAGAAATTTGGCTTTCAACATAGACTCACAGGATCCATTAACATAATATTCAGGTTCAACTGGCTTGTTCAAAAAATTATAATGGTACTTTTTCAATCTATCCTTGGGTAGAAGATGACTAACCTTATGATATAAATCAGAAATAGTAGATTTTGTAGAAGCACGGTTACATGCCTTCTTTGGAATTCTAGCATATGGAGTGAGTTTGCTTGCTTGCACCTTAGTTCGTGCTCTTTTTGGAACTGGTGGAGAAGATGAGATGTCAGCACCAGGAGAAGAATTTGAAGAAGAAGCATGTCTCTTCCTTTTTTTTGTGAAACTTCCCTTTGTGCCCAAGTTCGTATGCCATGTTTGATGATGATTAAATAGGTAGATATGGATGAGATGATGATGATTATATGATCAAAATGATGTTTAATGGAATTTTTCAATTGTTTCTCAAAGGGTTTGCAAAATAAAATGATAAACAAATGAGTTTGGAAAGAGAAATTGAACTGAGAGTGGGTATTTTGTGTTCCCCTTCAATTCATGATTCGAACCAAGTTAAAAAAATTGATTCGAATCATGCATTTTATTTTTGAGTAAAAACAACTTTGATTCGAATTAAGTTCAAAAAATGATTTGAATCAAATTAAACAATCTATTTTCTCAGGTATATGACTCAAATCATGGGTTTAGTTGTAAACTTATGATTCAAATCATGAAGTGAAACTTTTTAAAAATTGAGAGCTTTGAGACTTTTCAAATTTGATTTACTCAAAATAAAAATGCCTTTATAATACATATTGATCAATACATTTTGATGCACACTCTTCTATTATCGTACTTAGACAATTCTAGAGTTTATTTTATTATATTTGTTACTTTAGTGTGCTTTTATATTTAATTTTATTTTTGCCTTTAATTTAAATTTGTACTTTATTTTCAACTTAAACGGTTAATATATACCTTTTCATTGTGCAGACCATAACTTGAGCTATGAAAATCAGATTGACGCGTTCTAATATTTTTTGGAAATCTAAGAGGAGAAGATACAAGTTTGACGTTGAAGCCAATTCCAGTTCGAAGCGCAGAAGGGTCAAATAGTTCAGTTTAGTTCCAGACTTAAGAAATTACTTAATTTTTGGGCTGACTTTGTAATTTTCCGGATCAGTTGCTATTAGAGCCGAATTCACTTGCTATATTTAAACAAATCAATAGTTTTAGGATTAGATTATTCTGTTTGAATGAAATTATAACACTGGGCTGCTAGGATTTCATAGAGAACTAATTCTTACGGTTGATCTGTTGTATTCAGGTTCCATTTTAATATTTTTATAAGTTTCAGTTTAATTTTGATTTCTTTTCAATTCTGCCTATAAAATCATTTTCTTGATTCAATAACTTTCATTTAATTAATTTGATTGTTTCTTATAGGATAAATTTGACTAAATTCGATTGTTTGTATGATCATTAACTATAATCGCATTAGCGTGTCTTTTTGGCTATCGTGTTTGATTAAGCCATGTTTGCTTGATTCGTGAATCCTTAAATTTGTTTGCTTTATTCAAAAATCAGGAACATACATTATATAGCATCAATTGCGCTTGTCAATGGGTATTGTAATCGAATATGATTGAATCCGCTTAGAGAATTTGAATTATAAGAATGGATGATAAGTCAGAAATCGATACAGTAGACTAGCTTATTTATCAACTTTGCTTTTACCTTAATCACCTTCGATTTAAGTTCTAAACCTTAAAAACCACCTTCTATGAATTATTTGGTTAAAATTATCAAGAGTCCTTGCAATACGATACTCGAGTGTCGCTTCCCTTTTACTATGTTTTGTAAACTCGTTTTTGACTTGTGTGCGACAGCGGATCACATATGGAAAATCATTTTGATGGTATTTGTGAGTGCAAAAATGGTTGAACTAATTTTGATGCACATGTAATAGAGATTTTAATTCAAATTAGCTTCATGTGGATGCAAAAATGTTTTCAATGCTAAAAAATGAATTAGAATGCATGAATGTATGAGATGCAGATGAATGCAATGAACAACAACATAATTAAACTGATACATTGTATGAATGAAGAATTAAAGTATGTAATGCACAAACATATCACACATACAAGCATATTTCAATCATACCACACACAAAGGAAAGAATTATTACACCTATGTACATACAAAATAAATAAAGAAGGGTTGGAATGATCATACCGATTTTGATGATCTAAGGTTTAACTAGCTGAATACTATACCGATTTAGAATCAATTAACATAAATAACATTAACTTTAGAGTATGAATTGGATATAACTCCTCTTGCACGTCTGAAGAAAACTTTATCAGACTCTCCTTCACAAGACTTAGGATGAACTTCAAACGATAATATGATTAATACTGATTGATGCAAATTGTCAATCTTGAAACACTTATTCAACTCTCTGATGATAGATTAGCACTTCAAGTACATTCCTTAAATCTTTTGTAATGGTTGAAACTTTGGAGAATCAATGCCAATATCCATAAAACGACCTCCATCTTCCTTTTACGACAACCTTGGAAGAATAAGTCACTTAGAAGATGCTTTTATTTCCTTTTTTTATTTCATAATGATTTCCACCATAATAAAGTGAATGTATGTCCGTCTTTACTTAGGGTTAATCTAGAACAACCTTCAAGTCAAACTGCACAATACAAAAATTTAACATACCTCAAGGAATTGTTAGTTCAATCTTTGATGAATTAAATCATAGAAAAATATCTTAAATACAATTGATGTTTGAAGAACATATTAGCAAGGTTTTGAAATATACGTAATATATTGAAATGAATAATCAAACACAAGTAAATCAATATAAATTCATTGGTGATTCATTTAATTGCATAATGTTGTACCCCAAAATTTGCCCTCCCATTTTTCATAGAAGACATAACCCTAGGGTTTCTCAGATAATCAAGTTGGCTCAGAAATCGACCAGACAAATTCTCTTCTGTGGCAGTAAACCAGTAATTAGGGTTTTTCTTGCAATTCTCAAAAGAAAATGAATTCTCAGAAACTCAATTGGTTTTCACAGGTCTTCATGCCTCCTCAAGTTTACTGGAAAGGTTAATGTTTGTTCTCAAAGCATGGTTTGTTGGGGACAAGAGATGGAGTTTAAGACTGTCATTTGGGACGACCATGATTTTGATCCAGGTTAACTAGATGATTTGCGTCTTTTAAAACATTTGCTTGGTTAGGAAATGGAATATACAGTGCGTGCTTGTTTGAAATGCAGTTACAGAATTATTGGGATTACTTGGAGTTTAAGTTACCAGACTGGAGCATTTTGTTTCAAGTATCCTGATTGGGAATTTCAAGAATCAATTAGGATGCGAAGAGAAAATTACAAGTTATTGTTGATCAAGGATTTCAAGTAACACCAGAATATCTCATAAGATTTTTTCCAATTTCAAAACATTGTTACAAAACAATTTTTTCTTTTTAATACTTTAGGTTTTACAACTTATCGTATTTGAAAGTGAATTGATACAATTATTGATTACAATACAAGAATGATTGTTCTAAAATACAAAGTAAATTCAAATGTTTGATTGGCCTAGGAGAATTAATCTATGCCTAAGTTTGTCTAAAGATTGAAGTCGTATCCAATTCTTTTGCTTATCTCCAAGACTTCCATGCTTTCCATAAAGTTCTTGCCTTCCTTGCTTTGTCATATCCATTTTGCTCACATGAAAATAAAAGAAAGAAAATGTGATTAATACAAAATCATTCGGGCATAAACAAAGATTTTAAATGTTATTCATCATTAAAGTTTGCAAAGTGGAATCAGAAGGCCATTTTAATTCATCACAATCTATTTCCTCTATTTACAAATCACAAGAAGATTATTCTTCTTGGTTCACAAAAAGAAAAAGGAAAAGAAATGCTACAAGCTGTCCAAACAGAAATGCTACAAGCTGTCCAAACAAAGGCAAGCAAACTGTCCAAACAAAGGCAAGCAAACTGTCCAAACAAAATGATCACAAACTATCCAAACAAAAGGCGCAAACTGAGCCAAACAAATATTGCAAACAGAACCAAACAAACAACAATATGGTAAACAACAAACAGTAGCCCCAAAAGCCAAACTGTGATACGGTGGGAGAACTGACTAGTGTTTTTGCGTTCGTATTCGCACTTGTGCGGTTGAGCAAGAGTCGCCACCGACTTTTTATTTTATCCTAAAGGAAAGGTTAAAAAAGCACAGCAAAAACCTTTTGAGATATTTCGTGGGTCCGGGGGGTAGATTATGAAAAGGGAAGGTATTAGCACCCTTTTCATCCATGGTTATCCATGGGCTCTTAGTTACTTGGTTTTTTAGATCACTTGCCTTGATTTTTGATTGCTTGAAAAATGTGTGTGTGTGAGTGTTTTTGAAAATGTTTTGGAAGAAGATGCATTGTCTTAGGCTAACCTTGTAACAATTCTTTACTCGAATATTTTACAAAAGACGTGTATCTTTTCGAAAAGATGTTTCAAAATGTTTTGAGAGTTTGTTTGAAAGTGTTGTGGATTGTGGTTTTTGAAAGGAAGGCAAGTGTTTTTGTAAATTGATCTCAAGTAACTAAGAGTTTTGTCTACCCTATTGTACTCAAAAGTTTTCTCTATGTTTTCAACCCCTTTTAACAACTTTGTTCCACCATTGAATTTGGTGGACAATCTTGTGTTTAGGAAGTTTATTCGGGACGGGCGCGGGTCATCGTATGGACCATGAATGCAATGATGCCAAGTGTCTTTGGCAATTTGCTTTGAAGGGACTATGATCATTCCGTTTAGGCAACATTCGAAAGCGTTATTGAGGGACTTATGATCATTTGAATTTGTTTTGCCAAAGATACTCGACGTGCAAGCATGGCCCATTTTGGAAGGCAACATGTGGGATTACCCTAGAGGGTGCAAGTGTGATTGTGTATTGATTTCATGTATTTGTATTGTATTAGGTTATCTAGCGTTTGATTTTATGTACATGCAAACCCTAGGTCTAACCATGGTATAATTGAAAGCGGTAAATTGCGAAAATGTAAAGTCTACACTATTACAAAATAAGTATCCGGGAGTGGGGGTACAATATTCACAAATGGGGATGAGACCTATAGTATCTAATAAGTTACAACCAAATCGAATTTGCGATCAAATGTAAATGATGTATATCAATGTATAAGATAAACAAATGTGTATAGGAGCAATATAAATGTGTTGTGTAAGTGTACAAGTATATGCGTACGTAATTATTTACAGGTGAGGGATGTGAAATTAATGTGTA